TGTCTGCTGCTTAATGTGTTTGGGTGGGTTAATAGGTTGACAAGTCCAAGCTGGGTATATGCTGATCTCACAACATAAAGAAGAAAAAAAAACAAACTCTTGGCATTAGAGCTGTAACCTTTAAAAAACTTATTTGGGCTTGACACGAGGGAAAATGAGATTATTCCTAAAAAGGAGAAGTACCCACCCACACATGGAATGGTGGCATCGGGAGGCTCCCAGCCTAGGGCAACACGGCCTCTCACCTTTCCCTCCGATTTTATAGAAGGGTCTGATGGGAGGTGGGCTGAGGCCCAGGGTTGCCATTTGAGGGAGTTTCTGCCTCTGCCTCTGCCAACTGACTGATGCAGGGGCTCTCTGCCTCAGTGGGTTTGACACTAACCCACCCATGGGGAGCCAAGGAAGGAGAGTTTGCTGAGGGCAGCTGCCATGGTCCTCTGTTCTGGGGCCACCTCTTGCCCCTTCCTACTCCCTACACCCCACCCTACCCCCCAACTGGACCTAGGTGGTCACTGGCCAGGTCAGTCCTCACCCCCAAATCATTCTGGAGGCGAGGGACTGAGGAGGCTGCCCAGGGTCACCTCCTGGTGCCAGTGCCTTATCACTAAGAGGAAGCAAGCTAGGCCCACTAATAGACTCCTCTTCCTCCTCCAAATAAATGCTCCTTTCAGCAACCCCAGACTCCAAGGGAATAATTATGGGCTGGGGGGGGGGGATAGGCTATGGGGCAAACGACAGGATTACAGGAAGGGATTAGCAGGTCGGACAGAATCTCAACACTCGCTGGCTGCCAGCTATGGGGGCACTGCCTGCACCCCACCCTTGAGGATGGGGGCTTAATGGCTCCCCCAGGGCACTGGTTGGCTAGCCCTCCCTGAACACCAGCAGGGGAGGGATGGTGGAGGTGGTGGCTGGCCAACCGTGTTGCCCTGGCCCAGCCTCCACCCTTTCTATTGAAGCCCTATAATTTCCTGTCACTTGTGGGGGACAGGGAGAGGAGAGAGGGCCAACACCCACCAGCCGTCCTGAAATCCCCAATGGCCCTGGGATCCTGGATTAGCGACTCTCCCCCACCCCACCGTGATCCCTGCTCAAACAGGGCTGGGGCAGACATAATCTTCTAATTGGAAGGCTGAGTTGGAGAGGTGTCCAGACCCTGAGTGAAGGGGCGACTTGGGTTGTGGGTTTGGGGGTGTGGTGTTCTCGAATGAATTTTGACGGAGCAAAGAGAAGGGAACTAAAGCGTCAGAAACTGTGCCCCTGAAGCCCAAGAGCATAGGCCATGGGCAGTTGGCCCTGACCCTTTCCCTCCCTCAGCAACAGGGGAGAGACCAGAAGTTGCCTTCCTGGTCCAGGCACTAGCTTAGGGGTCCCCAGAGCAGCTGAGGGAATCAGGGCCTGAGGAAAGTTCCTGGGGGCATCTGGGCCCAGCTCTTTCCAGGGACTGATCTCAGACAATGCCTCCTGGGGTCTTTTCTCCTCTTTGCTCTAGGCAAAGCAATCCTATGGTCCCTGTGGGTCCTGGGTCCACCTCTGTGACCCTGCATTCAATGGCCTCCCTCCTCCCTTCGGCCGTGGAAATCCTGACTCCCTTTCCTGTTAAAACCCTTCCCGAGTCCCTGAGGGGTTGCAGTCACCCCCTGCCCCTGACCTACAGTTGAAATGTCATTGCACCTGTCAGTTAGCTTGGGTATGTTTGTACATATTTTTCATGTCTCTATGTCTCCAGCACCTGGCACAGGGCGTGGCACTCTCACCTGAGGCAGGTGAAAGGCTTGCTAGCCACTTGGAAATGACGGTGTCCTCTTCTTGGCCGTAGGGCTATTAGAACGAATGTACAGAGGGAGAGACTATTACCTGAACCTTGGACAGTGGGCAAACAGCCACCCTCTCCTCCAGGTGGCCCCAAGCACCTGCCTGCCCCAGTCAGAGTGAACAATGCCCACTGTGACAGGAACCAGAAGGGCAAGCTCCCCAAGATGGAGGAACGACCAGAGGAAAGTCCATCCTGGGCCTGACGTCACCAGGGTGGATGGACGGTCTGGCTTACAAACAGGCAGCCGGGCCTCCTAAAGCCGTGCCTTTCAGTGAACCTGCTTCCCTTCTCCAATCTGGTCTCCATTCTAAATGTGCCCTCCTGCTCTTTACTAACAGGGCCCACGTTTCTGGATTACTGCCCTCATTTTACTGACGAGGAAACTGAGGCCCAGGACATTTAGTGACTTGACAAGGCCACATAGGTGGTAAGCTGCAAAGCTGGCCAGGTCTGCAACATGCCACCTCCAAAGAATGAAGAGGAGACAAAACGGCAGGAGGGGGTGGCTGACAGAGTGACAGGGCACCAAGCTGCCCTGGGAAATCCAAGTGGTCAGACTTGGATGCCCTCCATCCTTGGGGACTGCTGAGCCACTGGAATCTAGGGGTCTTGATCAGAGTACAAGCAGAGCTCCATCACAACTGGAGTTTTGTTCTGGGCACGTTTAGGACAGAGCATGTAGGGCGACAGAGCAGACTGCAGAAAGGAGACAGAATCCCGGAGCCCAGCTCACCTCATCCACGCCCTAGCCTGATGCTGATATGTACCTGTATGCGGTGCCGTGCAGACGGCAGCCAGGGCCTCTAAATGGCATAACCCAAGGACACTTCCCTGCTGGGGTGGGGAGGAACACGTGCTGCTCCACTGGCAGTTGGCACCTTTGGGTTCAGATTCACTGCAGGGCCCTAGACCAGACCATTCTGTTGGCTCTAAGGTGGAGACCCACCTTCCTACTTCCCAGAGCCGCTGTACTGCAAGTTCGTTCAGTGAGAAGGACCCTGCAATCAAGGCCAGACTGTCTCTATTTAGACTCAGTCCTGGCCACGGCTGCTAATTACCTTGTGAGAGACCCAGTGGGAGGCTGGGACCTAGGGCGAATCACTGATGCTCTCAGACTCAGTTTCCCCTTCTGTTCAGTAAGGGGGTTGGGCTTCTACGGTTTCCTTGAGCTCTAAATCTATGCTGCTGTGACTGACGGATGGAAGGCTCAGGGAATGAGGTCAGAGCCGGGATTCACCAATTCATATTCCCAAATTTCCCTTTTTCATCTTGGACAATGCTGTGGGTCTGGGCCTCAAGCCCCAGAGCCCACTGCAGTCTGTGGGCCAGGGACCAAAGATGGGCCCTCCTGTGGTGGTGGGGAGAGGCCACTCCCCCAGGCGTCCCATAGCCAGACGGCCACTATGCCTGGCATTTGGAGCCAGCCTCCCCCTCCTGCCTCTCAGGCTTTTGTGACAGGGACAGCTGCTGCCTTCTGGCACTGGGCCGCAGCAAGCACCACCCTCTAAGTGAAGGTCAGACAGGCAAGGAGCCCTTCCCTGAGAGACACAGTAGAGCCCACCGAGGACCATGCTGAGCCTGACGAGGACCTCCCGGCTGCTGCAGGCCTTCCTGAAGAAGCAGCTGATTCCCAGGGCCCACGTCTCTGGCCGGCCGGCCAGAGATCCGACCAGCACTGGGGTAAGTGACTGTGAGAAGAGGGGGTTGTGGCCCCAGTAAGGTCAGACAGACAATGCTGGGAGAGAGAGGCCTTGAGGAATGAGAGAGGGGTGGGCTCCAAAGCCGAAGGGTCTGTGGGCAGGGTGGCCAAGGGCTTCCTTCCCAGTTGGCGATTCCACAAAGGGAATATACCGGCTGCTGAGAAAACCTTTGGTCTGCAGAGTTCAGAGGGGTCATTTGCTCCCATGTCCCAGGTCCTAAGGACACATCCCTTGATACCCAATGACCAGCTGGGAGTGAGCGGAGGGGGTCCAGGGCAGGAGGCACCCAGAGCCAGCTGTTATTCTGCTCCCCTCCTGAGGGAATTTCCAAGGGTGCCTGGGGCACAGAGCACATTTAGGGTTTGGCTTAGCTCACTTATTATTAATCTACTCCAGTTCCTCAGTTTGACCAGAGAGGCTGTGACTAGCACCAGGTCACAGAGCAGCCTGAGCTGAGTCTGAGCACATCTCCTGGTCATGGTTCTTTCTGCTCTATCTCAGATAGGCTGCTACCACTGGCAGGGCCTTCCCCTCCTCCCCTTTGAACAGCACTGAAGACCCTCCTGGGAATGGGGGCTGCAGAGAGAGGCCTTGAGGAATGAGAGAGGGGTGGGCTCCAAAGCCCACCTCTCTTCCCTGGGCTGACCAGAGGGACTGTCCTCTGATCTTGACTAGTCATCTCATGGCAGGCAATGCTGGCCACTGCACTGCTCCCTCCTGAGGCTCATTATGTCTCCCTTGGCTTCTGGGCTGTCCTGCTCTTTGGAAGGTCATGGGGTCTGAAAATTATTTTTTTTGGGGGGGGGGGGGGGGTGTAGGAGGCCTGGCTGTGTTGGAACCTTGAGAGGGAGGGGAAGGCAGGACATGGGGAAAGGAGTTGGCCTCCTCCCAGTGACTACACTAAGCTGGTCCTTTCCCCAAGCACCTAGTGGGGCAGCACATAGGCCAACTCTGAGCCTCACACTGCTGCCTGCCTCAGTTTCCCCAACTGTATAATAGGGGTATCACAGCACCTACTTTCCAGGGTTGTTGTGAGGATCAGATGGGATGTTTGCAGTGGTTGGCACACAGTAGGTACTTAATGAATGCATCACCTCCCCTCCCCCGCAGGAGCAGGTGGCTGCCCTGGTGGTCGTCTTCCTCACCTTCCTCACTCCTTCAGCTTGGATATTAGGAAACCTCCACAACTACAAGAAAAGTTCGGAGTAACAGAGGCATCTCGAAACGAGCCCCTGCCAATGCCAGCTCCCCACAGCTGCCTCCAGGAGACCCCTCAAAGACCCGCTCATTAAAAGTCTCTCCTGCCAAAAGCTGCCTCTCTGATTCTTCTGACCAGTGAGGACCCCCCTCACCAGCACCTGGGGCCAGGCCCACTTCTGTCCCACATTCCTCAGCAGCGGCCACTGTCCCTGCCTCCTCCTGGGCTCATTCCCAGGCCCCAGCAGGCCAGAGGGACTCCCTGAACTCAGAGCCAGGCCCAGAGAGGAAAGTTACAGGTGTTTATTCCAGCAATATTCTTGTACCACACCATAAAACAGACCCGTACAGGAGGAGGTCAGAACCAAGGGGAGAAAAACCAATATGCACTACTGGAGGGCCCTGAGCTCCTGCCTTTGGGTTGGGGCTGAAGCAGGCCAGTGCCCCCCACCCCCAGCCCCCCATGGATCCTGGGTGGGCACACCCCAGCAATGACCACTGTGAGCACAGGCCGCAGGCAAGTCTTTCCCTCACACACCAAAGGGGTCCGGGGGAGGCCCTGGAAGCTCCTGCGAGAACCACACCTGCCCAGAGCACCTAGGTCAGGATGTCGTGGGCCTGGTGCTCCACCAGCATCTCCATGCTCTTCACATCCGTGCACCAGAATTCCAAGCGGTCCTTCATGCCCTTGATCTAGGGGGCAAACAGGGGCACAGCCATGCTCATGAGGGGCCCTGGCCTGGGCGGGCACTTCCATACTGGACTGCCTCAGTCCTCCTGGTCTCCCCCCCTTCCCCTCCCTTTTCCTGGTCTCCCTCCCTCATTGCCCCTCCCCCTTCTTGGTCTTCCCCTCCCCCCCCCCCCCCCCCCCCGCCCCACCTCACTGTTTCTCCTCTTCCTATTCAGGTAATAAATGAGAAAGGGAACCAGCCAGGATGATGCTTGAAGTCCAGGGGGCTTTCCCCACCTTCCCCCCAAACCCAAAGGCCCCTGAAAGCTGGCAGGGCTGACAGCAATCTGAGTTTTGAAGCTCCTCCCAGGGACCAGGGGGTCTGGCGCCTGTACCTGCTGTAAATCCAGCACTCGAGGCTGCACCCAGGTCATGTGCACCCGCTTGTCCACCTCGTCGATGCTGCCTTTCACCAGACCCACTGAAAGGGCCTTCATCACCAGCAGCTCCACCTACATGGAGACAGCCAAGCGTGGATCAGTGGTGCTGGTGGGGGGGGTGGCCCCTGGGACCCCTGGGCAGGAGCTCACCTCGTTCACCTTCACCTTGGCACTCTGGGCGATCTCCTCAAAGGTTAGCTGCCGGTGATTGGCCGGGCGTGTGAAAGTCATCTGCAATGCCAAGCTGGGGGTGACCACCTCTTCCTAGAACCCTAGCCCACCAGGGGAGCCCTGGCCATCCCAGGGGGAAGCCCACACTCACCTCCATGAGGCAAAGCAGCTGGATCTTCTGCAGGAGCAGGGCCTCGTTGGCGGCCAGATCCGGCTGTGTGAAGGAAGAGGTAGATGAGTGGCCCCTCTGCCTGCCCCAGGCCCACCCCAAAGCCAGGCTGGCCAGAGAAAGCTGACAAGAAACAAGGGGAGCTGGCAGCCAATGGGGACCCTTGGGGGCAGCAGAGCTCTCGAGGAACCTGGGTTTCAATTAGGATTTAATTTTGTTCCACTTAGAATGGATGGGTGGAGGACACAGAGGCACGTTCCCTTCCCCACCCTAGGGGTGGCCCTCCAGGACTGGGGCCTCACCTGCTGGCCCCAGGCAGGCTTCAAAGTCTGGAACCTCTCGACATTCCCGCTGTTGAAGGCGTAAAGTGTGTCGATCAGCCACTGCCTGTCCGTATTCCTCAGGGAGTCCAGCACAGGGTGCATGAGCTGCAGGCCAAGCAGAGATGGCGTTGGCCGGAGGAGCGCTAGGCTATGCCCCTTACCGCAGGACCCTCGACCGGCTCTGGAGCCAACTCACCAATTCCCCAAAGTTGTAGACGCCTTCCCCAAGAAGTCCTGCCAGGCCCAAGGTAAAAGCTCTCTCCTGCTGCTCAGACACTGCAATGACAAAAGGCCTCCAGTCACACAGTCACAGTCTGCCTAGTGGGTGATGCCCAACTGGGCAGCTTGGGTGGGCTCTGCCCCTTCGGTCTGCTTCACCTCCAGACCACCCCTCCCACCTGTTTCCTTCAACGCTGGCCCAGAGGGTGGAGCCTCCAGGCTCCACTCGACAACTTCCTCCAGGCAAGCAGGGCCCACTGCCCCACATCCCCATAATTCTAGAATTCGCCACTCATCCTCTGACATTAACAACGCCACCTCCTCCAAGAATCCTGGAGCTCCCATGCTGGTACCCCTAAGACACAAACAAGCATTGAAATTGGTTCACTAATGCAAACTTTAACCCCTGGGGGACTCTCCCGTGACTGGTGAGAAGGGCATGGTCCCTTCCACAATGCCTCTGGAAGGCAGTCCCACCCCTCGGGTGATGATCAGACAGATCTGACCCAGAGATCCTGCCAAACCGGCTGGAAATGACCCTACCAGGAGACAGCGCTTCAGGGGCTCCCCTCCTGGGGCAGCTTTCATCATAGGGACTCCTGACCTAACTTAAATTCCATCAGCATTAGTAAGCCCTGGCTGTGGGCTTGGTGCTGGGAGGAGACCCTGGGGAAGCCAGCCCCTTGAGGGGCTGGAGGGAGACAGCGTGCCCTGCACGGCCTATGGGCAGAGCCAACAACTTGACAAGGGAGACTAGAGAGGACCATAGCGCAAGGAGATGGCAGAAAGCGCACTTTTTATAGGATGGGGGGCCCTGGTTGTCTTTGTGGACTGGAGGAGTGGCTAGAGACTGAAGATGAGAAAGGAAGATGGGGAGAAGAGAGAAAGACAGGGGACAGCACCAGAGACTGGAGGAGCCGGGTTGGCCTTGGGAAGGTGCTCCCCCAGCTCCCAGGCCTTCCCAGACACTGAGTCACAGAGGAGGGAAGGGAGAGAGAGGGAAAGGACAGATAGAGGGCGGCCCTGGTGCATGGGGGGAGGTGGGCATAGGAGACACACCCCTGATATTTCCAATCAGAGAAGGACAGAAGGGTCGATGAGCAGCAAGGACGGCTAAGGGGGACAGAACCCGTTGGCAGAGTTGTTGCTCTGATCTCATGGAAGACACAGGGGAGGGAAGGCTCAGAGGCACAAGAAGCCAAAGGTGTTTATTGACTATCCAGAAGCCCCCAACAACAGTGGACAGAGATTCTGAGCCACTGACTCAGCTCGGGATTAGGGAAAAGCTAAGATGCTGCACAAGGCCTGAACTCCAGACAAGCTGCTGACGTCCCAGGTGGGAAACGGATAAAGCCAAGAACATCAACACAGAACATCAAGGCTTTCTGTCCAAGACTAACTTGCACACAGCAACTGCCAAGCAGAAGAAGAGAGCAAACACCTTCATGCCAGGTGCTCTACCAGTCTGTGACCTCTGACCCTCACCAGCCCTGGGAGGTGGGGGCTATTCTCATCATCGTCACCCCCAGTTTACAGGTGAGGAAATGGAGGCAGCCAGAGGGTTGGCGCCTTGCTCTTGGTCTCAGCTAGGAAGTGTCCGAGGCAGGATTTGAACTCAGGTCCTCCTGGCTCCAGGCCTGGCTCTCTGGGAGCTGTGGGTGCCCTCTGGCTGCATCTGGGTAAGGCCAAAGAAACCTTATAAAAGGAAACTCCACTAGCAAACACTGCGTCCCCTTCTTGCATTTAGAAACGTTTATAGAGCCGGCAGCCCGGGCTGGGGCCTAGTGATTGCATTTCCCTAACATTCTACTGATCAGGGCACTCACTGGCCCCAGTCAGGTGATGGTCAGAAGAGCCTGGCCACACTGAAGGAGGCCTTTGCAGGAGTGCATTAAGCACTTTTAATACAATGAGCAACATACCCGGGGAAGAAGACTGACCAAAAAACCCGGCCCAAATTAGGGCAAGATGATCATACAAGATTCCTTATGGGACCTAACAGAGATGACCTGGGTGATCCTCAGACCCATGTTTGCGCCCCCCCCCACCCCATGGATGTTGTCAAGCTGACTACACAAAGTCTCAGAATAACAAAGCGTCCTCAATGAGATCCCCTACTGCACACAAAAATTCAACCTCACAATCCACACAAGAAAAACCAAGTGGATGAAGACTGCCAATTACTCTGACTGGAACTTGTCACTGGAAACATCACTTACCAGGCTGCTTGGCCAGACATTTATCTGAGAGAGACACGACAGTCAAAGAGGACGGCTGAAAGCAGATGAGATTGCTTCTGGGAAACAAGGTAGAACTTTTGGTTTCACCCCAATCCTCTCCTAGGGATGCACTATGGCTGTGGATTTGACCTCTGAAGAATCAGAACTACACCCCAGGGGCAGCTGACCCAAAGGGGCCACAGGAAGACTTTGGGCCTTAACTTCCCCTCTTAGACTATGAGCCCCTTGAAGTCAGGGGTATCCCCAGGGCTTGGCCCAGTGCCTGGCACGTAGTAGGCACTTAATCAATGCTTCTTGACCAAACTTGATTTAGGGCGAGAACACAAGTCATCACTGGGGAGACTGTCCAGAACAGAGGGCGATACACAGACAAGCTGAGGGCTCAACAGGCTATGCCCTGGCAGCTGGAAGGAGGCTGAGCAGCAAGGACATCACAGAGATCCCTCGAGGCTCTGGGGACGTGACCCACGTTCCTGTCTAACTGGATGCCTCGAGGGGTCACGTCTTTTCTAAATGTTTCCTTGCCCTCAGCATCCGGCACAAATAAAAAGCCATTGTGACAACTGCTGAATCGCACTCACTCCAAATTCCCCCCAGCCTCCATGGCTTCCTTGAATTATTCTCCTCACCCTTGTTCTACTGGTTCTCAGTCCAGCTGCTCTCCCTGCCCTCATCCTACCCAATGAAGATCACTCTTCTGATCCCGCCCCCAACAGCAGCCTCCTTATCCCCTTGGCCTCGGTGGCAGCCCTTTTCTCTCAGAAGCAGAGACCAGCAAATCCAAACAATGCAGGCCATCCCAAGGGCACTCCCCCGTGGCCTTGTGAGTTCTCAGATCTAGATCGCAGATCCAGAACTGGAAGGACCCTCAGAAGGCCTCTAGTTAGGCCAAGAGAGGCAGCAAGCAGCAGACCTGGGGCCCAAGCCCATGGCCTCTAGAGGGTGGACACCCAGGCTTCTTTCCTGGGGGATGGCTCAGAGACCACCCACCCCAAACCCATCCCTGTAGCCTTGGGGATGCCTCACGCAGCCTTCCCCTCCCTGGCTTGGTCTCTGCTATTGAGAGGAGCTCAGTGACGACCCTGTGACTGCCCTTCACTTTCATGTGAATTAATTTCCCCATATACTTGAGTAGGAGATGCAGTGGATGTGCTCCCACCACCTGGGAAGCGTGCTGTGACCTCACGTCCAAAGAGGACAGAGCAGAGTAAAGGAGCGTCCTCTGTGTTACCTGGCAGGTCCTTTACATCGATACAACCCAGGAACCGCAGGGCGTCCTTGTAGTAGGATGCATGGTTTCCGATTGTCTGATAGTACTTGCTGGAAAGGTCATAGAAACGACTGTGCACTGATGTCACACCCGGAAGATTGTTAAGCATCTCTTCAACATCTTCAATTGTTTCCTGCATGTGGACGGAAAGCCAGCTCTGAGTGTTTCCAGCACATGTTTGTTGGACCCTCCTCCTACCCCTCCGCCTGGAAGCAGAAAGAAAAGAGCCCCAGGACCACGGGGAGAGGAGGCACCCGGCAGACCAGCAAATGCCTCCTCCACTCGCTGGACACGGCTGAGCCTCCTATTTCCTTTGTGGTTAAAGCTCTTCCTTCTCCTAAGAAGAGGCAGCCCTGCCCGTCCTACCCGGGGTCCAACAATGATGGGGCTGACCCTGCTTGTAAAAATGATGTGTGGCCTGGAATGGACAACGCCCACCTCCATCTCATTACTCTGAAGGGTGGCTGTTCAACACCACCCCTAGATGTGACCTAAGGCTCTTTCGCCAAGCCTAGGTCAATCTGGGAGTCTCTGGGTGTTGACTCCCAATCCTCTGCTCTCCTAACATGATTACAACCTAGAGTTGGACGCTGACAGTGCTCTAAATCAACAAGGGAAGGTCACATGACCTTCTCAAGGCACCAACAGTTGGTCCCTTGCCCTTACCTTTGTGACCTGGAGGTCTCCAATGTTCAGTTTTAGAGCGCCTATGGCAGTTTTACACAGGATTACCGCCTCATCACTGCTTTTTACCTGTAGTCGCCAAAAGGAATAAGAGAAAGATCAGAAACCAGAGGAGCAGGTGGCAAAAACAGAGAAACTACCAGGAAAAGGCTCCTGCCTTCCCAGAGCTTACAGTCAACACCTGCACAAGGTGACACAACTTGGAGTGGGCCAAGGAGCCATGGGAAACCCAAAGGGGAAAGGAAAGGTGCAACTAAAATGTCAAATCTACCTTTTCACGAGTCTTTTCCAGAAATGTAAGAGCAACATTAGGATCTGGAGCAAATAAAGAGGAATTAAATCAGAAGAGGCACTAAAGGACAAATCAGTCTGGTATGAGACTCTTTAAATGGATATCATTCAATGTAGTAAGGCATAATTAGGCTAACAAAGGCCAATGAACTTAGTCTGAGGTGCTCTTACCCTTTGGGGCTCATTCTTTGTGAAATTAATGCTCACCTGTCATCTGTCTAACTACATGAAGGATGATTTCTACCAAAGACAGAGGATTCACCCTGAAAAGGAAAGATCACCTGGATTTAAAATCTCAATAATGTATAAATGCAGAAGGTAAACAATTAACAAGAGGGTGTGTTACCTGTGCTCAAACTCACTGATGAAGTTTTCATAAAGCTGTGGGAGTAAAAAAAAATGGGATCCGTTAGACAATGCCAGTTCCGTCCTGAAGTATCCTGAACACCCTTCTGAGCCAAATCTAGTTCCCAGTCTCAAGTTATGGGTGGGAAGGACACGAGAGACATGGCCCAGGAGACACAATGCCACACAACCAGACAATTCCTAAACAAAAATTCAAGCGGGCAGCACCGTCCGGAATGGCCCCAAGGAGAGTCCTCCCAGGGAACAGTTGCTAGTGTTCATGCTTTCAGGGGGCGGTGTGCAGCCACGGCCGATCCGAGGCCTGAGGAAAGGCCTTGGTCTGCAGCTCTAGAACCCCCCTTGGGAACTGTGGCTGACCTTTGGGACAGTGCCCCTCTTGTTGGTTGGGCAAACGTGTTACTTAAGGACACAGGTATAAACAGGAGGAATCTCAGGAGCAGCAAACAGGCAGGAGATCTATCCCCTCAAAGCCCACCACAGCCCCAAGCTAGAGGTAATCACTTTAGGACAACATCAAAGAACAGAGGAAACAAAAAGCAAGACAACAGACAGGTCCAAGGTTGTGACAAATTCTAATGAGGGAGAGGGATCTAGGCTTGCTTGAGTGGATTTGAGAAAGGCCAAGGAGAAGCCAGGATGCACTGACAGGGGTTCTTGTCTGAGGGATTTTAGTGCACGTTCTATGACGTTTGTGTACCAGGAAGGGGTGATTCTGTGAGTGGAAAAGCACACAGGTGGGACATCAGTTATCCCTGTGGAGGAACTCCACTGTGACTGGCAGGGGCTTCATACACAACCCTCATGCCACACGCATGGCAGGAATCAGATTGGTAAACATGTCAAATGCAACATTTCCAGGGCATCCAGGGGGGCTGGAAGAACTCAGCCCTACAATGGGGCCGAGTGAAGCCACGTGTTGAGAGAAGGAGGCTGGCGTCTAAGGACAGTGGCCACAGTGACCTCGAGGCCTAGGTGATGCCTAGACGAGATCGAGATTGAGATTGCCAGTCTGGGGAGAGCGCACTCCCCACCCACTGTATGAGTGGTATCCCTGCCAGGCTATTATACACAGATACCTCTGGGTCCCTAATCAATGCTTTGTTACTTTCTATGTCAGAAATCTAAATGACTGCTAACTAATGGAGACAGAACGCTTTTGTGTTATTCCTGACCCTGCAAAGACAGGACAGAAGGAGGGCCAGGAGCAGCATATGTTAACCCAACTAAGTCCTGCTTTTAAATCTGTCTCCTGCTACTGAAATTAGCCTGCTAGGCAAACAGGTTTTCTGCAAGGATCGATTCCAAATCTTCTGATGCAATCCTTTTTTAATATGTGAAATTACATTATACAAAAGAAACACACGCCAAATCCAGCAACTCCCAACTATTTTGTTTTAGTGAATTCCAAATTTTTGCTAATTTATTGAAGTCTCTTAAGAGGGTGTTGCTTTAAACATTAAGCAATATAGTTTGTGAGTCCAGTATTAAAACAAAACAAATACACCCAAACACTAACATTCATAGAGGAATCAGACCTAGTAAAGGAAACTTAGAAAACCAAAGATACTCCAGAGAGTCTGAGGTAATACAGACGAGGAACAAAAGAGAGACGATGTTTCACAGAAGGAAATCTTAATACCTGAGGCCCTATGACGTAAGTACCAGAACGGGTTTTGTTTAATTTTCTAACCGTCTGAAAGAAGTATGCAGCCAAGTATCCAAGAAACTCAGTACAATGCTCAACTGATGTGGATAAATGGGCAGGAAGCTCCCATGAGGCTAAGGGATTGGGCAAAAAAGGAGATAAGCTTAATCATGGGCAAGTATAATATCAGGCATTTAAGCTAAAACAACCCAAACTGTAATTATCGGATGATGTTATCAGTTCCCAGGAAAGGAATTCTGGATCAATTTGCTGGGCATCATGAAAAGTTCTAAAAGGGTCTAACCAACAAAAGTGAAAATATACAGATAATGAAATACACCTTACAGGAAGTACAGAACAAGGAAGATTGGGTTTTACAGCAATTCATATAAAAAAAGGCCCGAGGGTTTACACAACCTTGACTGTAATCAGCATGGCCTACCTGCCAAGGCTATCCATCCATCTTAGGCAGCATTGACAGAATTAGCATGTCTGTAGTTTCGCTAAAGTCAAAGCCCATTTGCAGTACTTCGCTCAATCCTGGGTCTTACATTTTAGGGGAGCAACAGAAAAACAAGAATACACCAGCGAACTGGTGAAGGAGGTGGCCACGATGGCTGTCTTCACGGACACAAAGGAGGAGCCTGGTCACCCCAGTGGGAAATCTAGGTCCAATGACCCAAGTCAGAGGACAGTCTTGAAAGAACCTGCTTCAGGCATCAAGGTATTAGTGAGTGGGGTTCATCCAACAATGGAAATGGGTATTTATCTAAGGAGAAGCTAGAGGAGTGCCATTCCTTCTAGCAGCACTATATGACAAGGGAGTAAATAAGTCCTAGAAACAATAAGCCATAGTGTTTGATGAACTCAAGGACACCAACTGCTGGGAGAACCCGAGAGCAGCCTGGCAGAAGTTAGTGTTAGACTGACATCTTATACCACATGCCACAATAAGCTCTAAGTAAATATGCACAGACATAAAAGGTTATGTCACAAAAATATCAGAGAAGGAAAAGGTTACTATAAGCAACTACGCCTAGGGGGAGAATTCTTAAAACAAGGGAGAGAGGTAATCAGAGGACAAAATGGACAATTTTTCCTGCAAAAGGAATGAAAAGCTTTTGCACAAACAAAATAAATGCAATTAGAATCAAAATGGAAACAACTAGGAAAAGTCTTTGTGGGAGAAGTCTCTGATAAAGGTTTACTATCCAAGATACAAAAGGAAAGGAGAGGAATGTGTATAAACTGAAGCCATTCCCAAAAGACAAGTGATCAAAGGATCACATCAGAAAACTGGCAATTTTCTAATGAAGAAATTGAAGCTGTCAATAAATATGGAAAAGAAATGTTCTCAAACGCTAAAGAGAGAGATGCACATCGAAACAACTCTCAACTGCTAAAAGACAGCAATTGTTTGAATTCAAGGAGAGGGAAAGGACCATCTATACAAGACTTTCTGGCAGCATTTTTCACCGAACCAAAGAACTGGAAACAAAACGGGCGCCCACGGACGTGGGCGCGGCTGAGCCACAAGACTCCCAGTTCTGGACACTGATCTCCGACGCTGCCATCGGGATTTGTCGGGGGGCAGACGCACAAAGGGGAGCCCCCACGAAACCGCAGGGGGCTTAGACTGGAAGACCCACCAGGAGGGGCCCTCCCGGGGCCGCCCAGCTCCACGTCCCCAGACCGCTCTAAGGCCCCCACTCCATGCCGGCCGCTCCCCCTGCGCACCCCAAAGTATTCTGGGGGGGCGGCAGGGTCCAGGGTCACCCCCCCACTCACCTTGATGAGCCCGTCGCCCTGGGCAAAGCAGGGATCCTGCACGAACTCCAGGATCTGGAGCGTGAGCTGGTGCCACAACCTGGGGAACAAGAGGACCCTCAGCGCCCCCCACGGGGGAGGGGGAGGGGAGGGGAGGGGAGCGGGAGGGATCCCCCGGGCGGCCCCCTCCCCCGCCCCCGCGCCCCTCACTTCTTGGTGTAGAGCTCCTCCAGGCGGTGCCACACGGCGGCCTGGCCGGGCCCAGCGCTCTGGCTCTGCTGCAGGAAGCCCGGCACATCCTTCATGGCGGCGGCGGCTCCGGGACGGACGCGAGGATCGCGCGCTGGGCTGGGGGGCGGCGAGCGGCGCGGACAGTCGGGCCGACGGAAACGCACTCTCACTTCCGGCGTCCGCACGCTCACTTCCGGCGGGGAGCGCAGGCGCACTCACCCACTTCCGGCGTCGGCGCCGCGCGGGGCAGGTCGGGAGTCCCTCCGGCGTCTTCCCTCCTCCGCGGGGGACTCGGGGTCATGGGGCCGGGCCGCGCTGCCGCCTGGACCGCCCTGGGTGCGGCGCTGGGGCCCGAGCGAGGAAGGCCCGCAGCAGCGCGCGGTGAGCGTCCCGACGTGCGCGTGCGTGCGTGCGCGCTCCCGAGGGCCGGACCTCAGCGAGGGCGGAGGAGGGTCTCTAGTGACCGCTGTGTCCCGGCCCCCAGCCTGGGGTGGGGGATGGGGAGTGGGGAGGACGGTGAGGTTCCCTGGCCCGGGGCCTTCGGCCCTCGGAGGTGCAGGTAGTGAGCTCCCTGCCCCTGGGACTCGCCTCGTCGGCTCCTTGCCCAGGAGGGACCCCCGCTTCACCCTCCCGGGGCGGCTTCCTGGGGACGCCCCGGCTTGGGTTAGTAAGCATTAATTAAGCACCTGTTGCACGCCCGGCTCAGGACTGAGCATACCCAGAAGGCCAAAAGACAGTCCCTGCCCTCGAGGAGCTGCCAGTCGGCTGGGGGAGGGGCCCGGGGTGGGGCAGTGGACCACGCTGGCCCCCAAATAGCCCGGGCCCCGGGCCTGCCGCGATGGCCTCGAGCGAAGTTCGTGGTCCAAGGGGATGGCAGACTTAGGGCCCCGACTGGTGGGTGGGTGGGCATCCCCTACGGCCCCGCTGCCTTAGTCCGGGTCTTTCATGACAGAGAAGTGGGCAGGGGGGCGTCGGATCTCCCTCCAGCCCTTTCCTTGCCTGCGCTCGCTTCAGCTCCAGCGGCTGCTGAGATTTTTAAAAATGAATTTTTATCGAGATCTTTGGTCATTTCATGGCCCAAATATCTCCCAGGTTCCCAGAGAACCATTCCATATAGCAATTCATGTTTTTTAAAGATGGAGGAAGAAGAATCAGTAAAGTTAATACATTGAAAATGGTGTGAAAATACATGCAGTGTTGGAAACCTCTGCTGTAATGGGTGCGGGTGTGTGGAGGAGGGTCTTCTCTCCTTCCAGATTCACTGCGCTTGGGTGGCGATCCTTGTGTGTGGTGTGTTCTTGGCTCTGCCTGCCATCATGCCAGTCTTTCCATCAGTGTTCACCCCATTCACACCTTCTGACAGACAGGTGGCCACGGTTTGTTTAGCCACTCCGCAATTGATGGGTATGCCACACAGAGTGCTGCTATTAACATTCTTCTTATCAACAGCCTCCTGAGATAGAGGCCTACTCATGGAATCTCTGGGTCAAAGGGATAATAGACATTTTACTCCCTTCATTTGTATAGTTCCAAGTTGCTTTTCAAGATGGTTGTACCAATTCAAAGCCTCACCAGCAATGCACTAACGTGCCAATCTTCTCACAACCCTTCTGCTGCTGAGTGGTTGGTTGTAGACTGTTAACAGCTGGAATTTTCCTGTCCTTGTTTCCTTAGGGTGGAGGTATCTCTGCCTGTGTAGACAGCCTTCTGTTTCCAGAGTTTGGGGGAGTCTCCGGGCTCTCCACAGATCCAGCAGCATCTCTCTGTGGGAGCAGGTGTTACCAGAGAAGATCCTGAGAGGGGCAGTTGTGAATGTGTCCAGCTCTTGGCAACGAAAGTAGGTGGCCATTCCTAGAGGGACCCTGGGTCCCAGTGGGTGAGGGGACATCAGAGCTTTGAGGTTGGGAAATAGTGTCAGAGAGTAGGCTTTAAGGACGGATACAATCCTTGTGCATATTAGGAGCTTAATAAGGGCTTGTTGCTTAATTGAAGTTAGATAAATGACAAGAAGGAATTATTGGAGACGTCTGCGTCTTGAGAGATGCATGGAATCATAACATCTCAGAGTTGAAAGGGACTTTTAAAACCCTACCTGAAGCGTGAATTCTCTCTGAAGTATATCCAATGAGTGCTGGGTTTGGCAAGAGAAGAACAATCAGTGTGACCATATTAAACACTCCAAACCACATGATCATCCCAATAGATACAGAAAAATTCTTTGACGAAGTACAACACTCATACTAAAAACCCTATAAAGTGTAGGCATGGGGGGAATTAATAAAATGTATCCATCTGTAACCAAAAGCAAGCATCATGTGCGATGGAGATACACTAGAAGCCTTCCCAGTAAATGCAAAAGTGAAGCAAGGATGCTTACTCTCCCCACTATTATTTGATATAGTCGTCGACATCCTAGCAATAGCAGTAAGACAAGATGAAGAAATTAAAGGCATAAAGAAAGGTTAAAAAAAAAGATAAAATTATGCTCATTTGCTGATAACATTATAATTTACTTAGAAAATCCTAGAGATCACCAAAGATACAAATTGAGATATATTCAACAGAATTACAGCCTGCAAAACACATCCTCAAAAATCAATAATGTTTCCTTATAATAGTAACACCCAAGAGGCAATAATAGGGAGGGAAATCTCATTTCAAATGACTATAAAATGCAAAGACTACAGTTTTGTTTACAAAGTGCTCCTTAAAGAAATAAAGAAAACTTAAATAGCTGGAGGCAGTGTAATAAAAATAATACTAACAAAGTTAATGTATTTTTCAATGCTCTCATGGCCTGTGCTCTCATTTTATAAAAATTTTATTTTTTTTGATTTATTTTTAGTTTTCAACAATCACTTCTATAAGTTTTTGAGTTTTAAATTTTTCTCCCTCTCCTCCTCCCTCCCCAAAACAGTGTGCAATCTGATATAGGCTCTACATATACATTCCTATTAAACATATTTTCACATTAGTCATTTTGTAAGGAAGAATTAAAACCAATAGGAGGAACCACAAGAAAGAGGAAACAAAACAAAACAGAAGGAAAAAAAAAGAGCAAATAGTATGCTTCGATCTGCATTCAAACTCTGTAGTTCTTTCTTTGGATGTGGATAGTATCTACCATCATAAGACTTTTGGAGATGTCTTAGATTCTTGCATTGTTGAGAAAGGCTAAGTCTATCAAAGTCAGTCATTGCACAACGTGGCTGTTACTGTGTACAACTTTCTCCTGGTTTTGCTCACTTCACTCAGCATCAGTCCATACAAGTCTTTCTAGGTTTTTCTGAAGTTTACCTGCTCATCATTTCTTATGGCACAATAGTATTCCATTATATTCATGTACCACAACTTGTTCAGCCATTTCCCAATTGATGGGCAACCCCTCAATTTCCAATTCTTTGCCACCACAGAAAGAGCTGCTATAAATATTTTTGTACATGTGGGCCTTTTTCCCACTAATAAAGTAATTTACATGTATAATGCTATGCCAATCAAATTACCAAGGGAATACTTTACAGAACTTGAAATATTAACAAAATTCTTTTGGAAAAATAAACTACCTAGATTGTCAGGGGTAATAATGAAAAGACGTAGGGACAAAGGGAGTGATAGCCCTTCTTCCTGACCTCAAACTATATTAAAAAGTAGCAGTCATCAAAACCACGTGATATTGGCTAAAAAAAAAAAAAACAGACCAGACAAGAATCAAAAACAATGGAACTCAATAACCCAGTGTTAGAAAAAGCAGGAAACATAAAATTCTTGGTCCAGAACTGCCTGTTGGGAGAACAGAACTATGTAATCCAATCCCATCAGCATTTATTAAGTGCCTGCTATGTACCAGGCACTTTATTACCATGGTTGATAAGCTGCCTCTAGCCTCCTCCTGGCCATGCTGCTTCAGCATGGCAGGGGTCATCTTTGGCCTTTCCCTGCTTCGTGGGTGTTCTGACATGGCCTCCCCTCTTTCTTCCTCTGAGCTTCCTATTCTCCTTTGTGTGCTGTGAGAGAGAAGTTTCCCCAGTGAGCCTCATTTTCTTTTCTTTTTTTTTAGCCTTTTTTCTTTTAATTCTTTCAATTTAACATTTATTATTTATTTTCAGTATTCTTTTCTTTTTAAATTTTGAGTTCCAAATTCTCTCTCTTCCTCCTAGCCTCTCCCCTATCCACTGAGAAGGCAAGCAAGTGATACCAATTATATATGTGAAATAATGCAAAACATTTTTCCGTCTTAGCCATATTGCAAAGAAGTGTAATAAAGTGAGAAAATTATACTTCAATCTGCACTTGAGAGTTCCTCATTTCTCTCTCTGGAGGTGGGCAGCATTTTTTCATCATGAGTCCTTTGGAATTGTCTTGGATCATTGTCCTGATCGAGGTAGCCAGGTCTTTCACAGTTGATCACCATTACAACATTGCTGTTACTGTGCACAATGATCTCCTCGTTCTTCTCACTTCAGTTTGTATCAGTTCATATACGTCTTGCCATGTTTTCCTGAAACTACCTTCCCCCTTGTCATTTCTTAAGCACAATAGTATTTATTCCCTTACAATCATATATTCCCTAGCTGATGGGCATCCCCTTAATTTTCAATTCTTTGCCGCCACAAAAAGAGCTACTATAAAAGTTTTTGTACAAATAAGTCCTTTTCCTTTTCCTTTGATCTCTTTGGGATACAGCCCTAGAAGTGGTATTGCTGAGTCAAAGTATGCACAGTTTTATAGCCCTTTGGGCACAGTTCCAAATTGCTCTCCAGAATGACTGAATCAGTTCACAACTCCAGTAGTGCATTAGTGTTCCAATTTTCTCACGTCTTCTCCATCATTTATCATTTTCCTGTTTTGTCATGTTAGCCAATCTGATAGGTGTGAGGTGGTACCTCAGAGTTGTTTTAATTTGCATTTCTCTAATCAATAGTGATTTAGAACATTTTTTCATATGACTATAGATAGCTTTAATTTCTTCATGTGAAAACTGCCTGTACGTATCATTTGACCATTTATCAATTGGGGAATGACTCATTCTTATAAACTTGACTCAGCTCTATACTTGGTATGCATTTGAGAAATGAGGCCTTTATCAGAGAAGCTTGCTGTAAAAATTTTTGATATTACTTCTTTGTGGAACCATTTAGCATAGTGTCGTTTTCCTGATTATCCCTTTTAATTAAGTCTGTTTTTGCTTTTGCTTATTCTGAGATCACAATTGCTACTCTTGTCTTTTTTACTTCAGCTGAAGTATATTAGGTTCTACTCCAGCCCTTTATTTTAGCTCTGTGTATCTGGTTCAGATGTCTCTTGTAAACACCATATTGTTGGATTCTGGCTTTTAGTCCACTCTGCTCTCCATTTTCGTTTTTATGGGTGGCCTCATCCCATTCACATTGACGGTTATGGTTCTAAGCTGTGTACTTACCTCCACCCTATTTTCTTCTGTTTACCCTTCTCTCTCTCTTTTTATCCTGTCCTCCCTCAGAAGTCTGTTCTGCTTCTAACCTCTGCCTCCTTTAATCTGCTCTCCCTTTTGTCATTTTTCCCCTCCTCCTTTCTCTTCTTCCCTTCCCCTCCTATTTCCCTGTAATCCTATTGGGTAAGTGATAATGTCTATACACTCTGAGTGTATATGTATGTTCTTTCCTGTTTGAGCCAATTCTGATGAAAGTGAGGTTTAAGCATTGCCTGTCACCCCCCCCCCCGGCCCCCCCTTCCCTTGTAAAACCTCTTCCTTGCATACTACTTTTATGTGAGAACATTTCCCCCACTCTCTCTCTTCTCCTAGCGCATCCCTATTGCTCCCCCCTTCATTATTTTGCAGATCACTCTAACCTTGACTCACACCACGCCCTCTGTCTACATAAACTCCTCTTAACTTCCTTAATAATGATAAAATTCTTAGGAGTTACATGTATCATCTTCTCATATAGGAATGTAAACAGTTTAACTTGATTGATCCCCTTATGATTACTCTTTCATGTTTACCTTTTTATGTTTCTCTTAAGTCTTCTGTCTGGATGCCAAATTTTCTATTCAGCTCTGGTCTTGCTATCAGGAATGCTTGGAAGTCCTCTCTGTTTCATTAAATGTTCATTTTTTTACCCTGAAGGATTATATTCAATTTTGCTGGATAGGTGATTCTCAGTTATAATCCCAGATTGTTTGTCCTCCAGAATATCATATTCCAAGCCCTCTGCTCCTTTAATGTGGAAGCCACTAAATCTTGTGTGATCCTGACTGTGGCCTCACAATATTTGAATTGTTTCTTTCTAGCTATTTGCAATTATTTTCTCCTTGACCTGAAAACTCTGGAATTTGGCTATAATATTCCTGGGAGTTTTCATTTTAGAATCTCTTTTAGGAGGTGATCAGTAGATTCTTTCAATTTCTATTTTACCCTCTGGATCTAAGATATCAGGGCAGTTTTTCTGTTTAGCTTCTTGAAATATAATGTCCAGGCTCTTTTTTTGAACATGGTTTCAAGGAGTCCAATAATTCTTATCTCTTTTCCATTTATTTTCTAGGTCAGTTGTTTTTCCAATAACATAGTACACATTTTCTTCTATTTTTCTTCATTCTTTTAACTTTGCTTTATTGTTTCTTAATGTCTCATGGAGTATTGGCTTCCACTTGCCCAATTCTAATTTTTAAGGAATTATTTTCTCCAGTGAGATTTTGTATCTTTTTTTCCATTTGGCCTATTCTGCTCTTAAAGAAGTTCCTTTCTTCAGTGAATTTTTGTCCTTTTTTTTTTACTATTAGGCCAGTTCTGTTTTTTAAGGTGTTATTTTCTTCAGCATTTTTTTGTGCCTCTTTTATCAAGATGTTAGTTCTCATTTT